TGTGGCTGTCCCATTACCCAACAATGAAGCATGTGCCAGCGTGCGGTGCAAAGAAAGGCGGGGCCCGAACCGCGGGCTGACGAAGCTGCAGTGTGGCAGCCAAGGTGAAACAAGACAGACCTGGCGCAAAGCAAACCACGGGAAGTGCAGCACGCAAGGCGACCCCAGTTCCGCCCAACCCCTGTCGCTCTGAAGGCATCCTGTGACAAGGGGGTCTACTACGACTAACTACTACTATCTACTACTACTACTACTACGACTACTACTACTACTACTACTACTACGACTACTACTAACTACGACTACTAACTACTCACTCTACATCTTTTACTCTAATAATCATACGACTGCTATCTACTATTACTACTACTATACTAACTACTACTACTACTACTACTAACTACTACTACTACTACTACTACCTACTACTTTACTACTCACTACTATACTGTTACTACTACTACTACTACTACTACTACTAACTAACTACTACTACTATTACTATTACTAACCTAACTATTAGTAACTTACCACTACTACTCTGCTACTACTACTACTAAGAACTACCACCACTACTACTAACTACTACTACGACTACTTACTACTACTACTAACTACTACCTACGACGGCTATTTACTACTACTACTACTACCATTACTACGACTACGACTACGACTACTACTACTACTACTACTACTACTACTACTACTACTACTACTACTACTACTACTATCATTACTACTACTACTACTAATACTACTACTACTACTACTACTACTACTACTACTACTACTACTACTACTACTACTACGCCTACTTCTGCTAATACTAGAACTACTACGATTACGACTACTACTACTACTACTACTACTACTACTACTACTACTACTACTACCACTGCTACTACGGCTACTACTACTACAATTATCACTACTACTACTACTACTACTACTACTACTACTACTCTCGTACTACTACTACACGACTACTAATTACTAACTACTACTACGACGACTACTAACTAACTACTATACTACTACTACTACCACTACTCTACTACTAACTCTACCGACTTACTGTGACTACGGCTACGACCTACGACTACTTACGGAGACTACGACTACTACTACACTGACTACTACTACTACTACTACTACTACTACGAATACTACTACGGCTACGAACTACGCTACGACTACGACTACGACTACGACTACTACTACTACTACTACGACGACTACTAGTACTAGTACTAGTACTAGTACTAGTACTAGTACTAGTACTAGTACTGGTACTAGTACCAATACGAATACTAATACTACTACAAATATTAGTGATAATGCGACTGCTACTGCTACTGCTCCTGCTACTGCTACTGCTACTGCTACTGCTACTGCGACTGTTATTATTTCTACGACGGCTGCTGCAACTAATATGACTACTACTACTACTACTACTACTACTACTACTACTACTACTACTACTATTAGCCTACGGCGGTTATTACTACTACTACTACGACGACTACTACTACTACTACTACTACTACTACTACGAAACTACTAACTGCTACTACTACTACTACTACTACTACTACTACTACTACTACTACTACTAACTACTACTACTACTACTACTACTACTACTACTACTACTACTACTACTACTACTACTACTACTAACTACTACTACTACTAACTACTACTACTACTACTACTACTACTACTACTACTACTACTACTACTACTACTACTACTACTACTACTACTACTACTACTACTACTACTACTACTACTACTACTACTACTACCACTACTACTACTACTACGACTACTACTACGACTATACTACTACTACTACTACTACTACTACTACTACTACTACTACTACTACTACTACTACTGACTACTACTACTACTACTACTACTACTACTACTACTACTACTACTACCACTACTACTACCACCACCACCACCACCACCACCACCACTACAACGCGCACGGACTGATACATTCCCTGGTGACTTCTTGGGGGGAACTGGATTTTTGCACATAGTCCTACCAGCTTAGTTTTCAAACCTTTCCAGGACGGGACGACCCCATTCGAAGCATTCGCCGCAGTAACGCCCGCAAACTGGTCCGTTCCATGGTGCCACCAGGGTCTGGACCAGTTCACCGGGGTATGGATCAGTTCACCAGGGTGTGGACCAGAAACCCATTCACCGCCCCCCCATCACGCAACGCCCGAAGAAGGACCTCGTTGCAGACGCCTGATGCGTCGACCTCCGTTGTGACGAGCCGCGCCGTGCAGCGGAGGCAGGAGCGTGGCCGCTCGAGGTAGCCTCCCCCCTTTCCCTCGGCGGCCGCGGCGAGCACCGAAGAAGCCTGTTCGGGGACATACGGTTGGGAGCTGTTGCTAGGCGTGTCTCGGCGGCGGCGGCCCTGGCGACACGGCCTGTCCTGCGAGAGAGTGGCTTGTCGCTCCGCTCCGCGGGGCGGGGGGGTCGGAAAGGCTCGTGACGTCGATGCTTGGGTAGCCCGAAGTGGATAGCGTGTCGCGCCGAAGCGCGGTGGGCCAGAACCAGCGGAGCGACACACGACCTGCGAATTCCTGACCGTACACATCCTCCAAAACATAATATGTTTTACCATTTTACCATGCGGCCCTAGAGCTCCCGATCCCTTCCCAGGAGTCTAGCTTCGCGCCCTGAACCCTGTTTGGATCGTCCCAGGGCCCGGAAGCGGCCGCAGGAGGCTGGCGTGAAGAGGAGACGCCGCGATAGAAAGACCACATCGTCGGAGGTCTTGGAATCGGGGATCTACTGACCCGGGTGAAAACAAACCCGGGTCAGTCGGGCTCTGCAGGATGCTGCAAGGCCCTGCAGGATCCTGCAAGATCCGGCGCGCTGGCCGACCCCCGTTTGCACCGACCCCCGTCTCTAGGGGGCAAACAGACACACCTCGCTTTTGACCACCCTCGCTTCCAAGAGGTACCAAGCGATGCCAAACTACGGCCTGCACTGGTTAGGCCGCTTGACGAGGAGGCGCGTGGTATGACTTCGTCTTGCCTGGGAAGCGAAAGCGGGGTGGGTAATTCACGCTCTGAGTCTCAGGGCTCCCGATGGGAGCACCGACGACGCCAGGGACGCGCCAGCCCGGGTCAGCGCTGTTGCCTCCCCGGAGCCGGCCAGGGCCGTGGCGCGAGCCCGGGCCGGCCGCGGGAAGTGCCATATGGGGCCCGCGCGGCCCTGGAGCCCGGGGCCAGCCAAGAGGGCTCCAGAGAGGATCGGTGGGCCCGCCCCAGTCAGCGCTGCCTCCCCGCCCGTCGATGGGCAGATTTTCCACCACCACTGCCACAGGGAGGAAAGGGAGAGGAGGAGAAGGAGGAGGAGGAGGGAGAGGAACGTTTAGGAACGTTTAGTTTAAGCAGAGGCCCAGTCGGACCACGCACCCCCAACGGAGGAACGAACACCATGCAGGCACCGAAGCCCCAGCGTGGCCCTCGCTCCTACCGCCCGAGCTGCGCGGCCCTCCTGGGGACTGGTGCAGGCTCGGGTTCGGTTCGAGAGTTCCGACAGCAGCCTCCGTGGCCTGAGGAGGAAGAGGAGGAGGAGGAGGAGGAGGAAGAGCAATGGAGGAGGAGGTGGAGGTGGAGGAAGAGGAGGAAGAGGAGGAGGAGGAGGGGGAGGAGGAGGAGGAGGAGAAGGAGGAGGAGGAGGAGGAGGAGCAGGAACAGGACGAGAAGGAGGAGGACCAGGCAGAGAAGGAGGAGGAAGAATGAGGAGGAGGAGGAGGAGGAGGAGGAGGAGGAGTGAGGAAAAGGAGGAGGAGGAAGAGGAGGACCTGCCCATCCGTTTTTCTCTCCCATCATACCTTGGGTGGTGGTGGCGGAAAATGCGCCCATCACCCCTGCGTGGCTTTCGCTGGACATGTAATCAAGAAACTCACCAGTTCAAACCTGGGCCAGCTTCCTGGACGATCCTGAAAACATGTTCCGTCGCATCACGGCAGAAGCGAGTCGCACGGGCGCTCGCAATGGTCGGGGACGCTGGGCAAATTAATTGCCCCGATGCAGGAATGGGGCACGGGAAGGCAGGGCGGACGCGGAGAGAACGGAAAAGGGGGGGAGAGCGCCCACCGGAGAAGATGTCACGCCGAACACGCCAGAACGGCCAGCCGGGGCTGCGGAGCCAGGGCGCTGGACGCGGGGCGGCGCCACGGCCACACCCAAGGACCTTCGCCAGGGCTGCAGGCGCTGAAAGCATGGGAGGCCAAGTGCTAGCAGCGAGCCATTGCAGAAGCCACCCGGAGCTGCCCGGCATCGTTCGTCACGTGGCCGGGCTGTGTCAGGCTTTGCTGCGCCGGCGGCTGCTCGATGTGGGGCAAGGACACCGGGTTCATGCGGCAGCGCGCGGTGACCGCGCGGGGCTGCGCATGGGCGGGCGCGGAGGGAGAGGCTGCCAGGGCAAAACGCCATCATCCGAATCATCATCACGATGCTGATGCCAGGCGCAATTGCATCAGCTGGGGCAGCATGCGCTGGCCAGGCTCGAGCGGCGGCGGCGGCAGCACGGGAGCGCCATGGCGGCGCGGGAAGGAGGGTTGCAGGAAGGCGGGCGGAGGAAAAAAAGGAGGCAAGAGGAGCGCCCCGCTTGACTGGCGCACGCATCACAAGTGGGCCGGGCGGGCAGCAGGCCCGGCTGCAAGGGCGGCAGGGCAGTGTGGCGGAGCCCAGAAAAAGGCGCCAGAGCGGGGACCCACCCATCGCGCCACCCTTGGGTGGCAGCACGCACGGCGGGGCCGCCACTGGAAAAGGAGCGGGGGGTGGGGCCTGCCAGGGGGGCAAGCGGGCAGCGCTGGCACTCGGGTGCCGTGCGCGCGAGGGCAGCCTGCATGGCGGCTCGGTGGGTGTCGGCCTGGCTGGTGTCCTCCGTGCCCCAGCCTGGCCACGGGCCACGGGCGTCGTCGATGCCAGCTGCAGTGCCAGACGGGGTGCGTCCGTTCCAGGGCTGCCCGTGCCGGCGGGTAGCAGGTCGGAACCCCGTCCCGGTCGCCGTCATCATAATCCCAGTCGTTGCGGAGGTGCCCGATCGCCAGGTTGGCCAAGAGCGTCCAGCCTAGGTACTGGAAGCGCGGGATGTCTGGGGTGGACGCACCTAGGGTCATGGTCCACAGGTTGCCACCCTGGTGCCATACCTGCGGATCAGGAGACCAACTTGCTGAGTCAGGCGGAGGCGGTGTCCGTCAGATAGAAAGCGGTCCGTCAGATAGAAAGCGGACCTTGTCCCCCACGTTTTTCTGGCAGATCTCGCAGTACCAGCCCCAGAAATTGTCGAATATGACCCACCGCAGAAAGGCGAAACCTGGGCCTGGGCCTACCGTCGGTGCCCCGCCTGCGGGTCGCACGGCAGGCACCAACCAGCGAAAGCTGGGTCATTTGCTTGCCCTGACCATGGCCGGATTGGAGCCCAGCCAGGTCAACCAGGTTGCGACTGATCGTCGCAGACACTCGTGGGGAACCGGCGCGCTGGGGCACGCCGGGAGCTGCGCCTCAGTAAGCCGGACGATCGGGCGCCGGCATGATCAGGATAGGCCTGCCACCCTGAGTCGCCTGGATTCCCCGGTAGCTCTTGCTTCGAGCGCCTCCACCACTGCAGAGACGGTTCCGGGATCGAGGTCGTTGCAGCCCTGAGCGGGGATAAGAGGTCGGGGAGGGGCTGTTGGGAGGGTCCAGTTTGGCCGTACCAGTCCGTCCAGGCTCGGACGGCAGTGTCGCCCGCCTGCCGTACAGGGCAGGTTTTAATACATGGGATTTGTTCCCTACCTATAGCTCTGCCTAGAAGGGTTCTTACTCTCTAGCTTAAAGGGGCCGGGCAGTGGAAAGCGCCCCGGGCGGTTCCCCCAGTCCCCGCCCAGCGGTTCCCCCAGTTGCGCCCCCTGGGTTCACCCAGCTTAGCTTAGCTTCAGCTTAGCTTTAGCTTAGCTTGAGCTTAGCTTTAGCTTAGTTTTAGCTTAGCTTTAGCTTAGCTTTAGCTTAGCTTCAGCTTAGCTTTAACTTAGTGTTAGCTTAGCTTCAGCTTAGCGTCAGCTTAGCTCTAGCTTAGCTTTGCTTAGCTCTAGCTTACCTTCAGCTAGCTTCAGCTTAGCTTTAGCTTAGCTTTAGCTTAGCTGTAGCTTAGTTTCAGCTTAGCTTTAGCTTAGCTTTAGCTTAGCTCTAGCTTAGCGTTAGCTTAGTTTCAGCTTAGCTCTAGCTTAGCTTTAGCTTAGCTTTAGCTTAGCTCTAGCTTAGATTTAGCTTAGCTTTAGCTTAGCTTTAGCTTAGCTTTAGCTTAGTTTTAGCTTAGCTTCAGATTAGCTTCAGCGTAGCTTTGGCTTAGCTGTAGCTTAGCGTCAGCTTAGCTACAGCTTACCTTTAGCTTAGCTCTAGCTTAGCTTCAGCTTAGCTTTAGCTTGGTTTCAGCTTAGCTTCAGCTTAGCTTTAGCTTAGCTTCAGCTTAGCTCTAGCTTAGCTTTAGCTTAGCTGTAGCTTAGCGTTAGCTTAGTGTTAGCTTAGCTGTAGCTTAGCTTTAGCTTAGCTTTAGCTCAGCTTTAGCTTAGCTTTAGCTTAGCGTTAGCTTCAGCTTTAGCTTAGCTCTAGCTTAGCTTTAGCTTAGCTTTAGCTTAGCTTTAGCTTAGCTTTAGCTTAGCTTTAGCTTAGCTTTAGCTTAGCTTGTTCTTAGCTTTAGCTTAGCTTTACTGATACTACTAATGCTGCTTTCCTAGGGGCTCCAACTCCTAGGTAGGGTCGCACTGGGATAATTAAAAGTAGGAGTTGTAATACATGATTAGTTTATGAATAAATTTATGCATGAAATCATCGTTTTCCCCTACCTAGGCTCTGCCTAGAAGGGTTCTTACTCTCTAGCTTAAAGGGGCCGGACAGTGGAAAGCGCCCCGGGCGGTTCCCCCAGTCCCCTGGGAGCGGTTCCCCCCAGTCCCCTGGGAGCTTTAGCTTTAGCTTTAGCTTTAGCTTTAGCTTTAGCTTTAGCTTAGCTTTAGCTCAGCTTTAGCTCAGCTTTAGCTTAGCTGTAGCTTAGCTTTAGCTTAGCGTTTCGCTTAGCTTTTCGTTCAGCGTTTAGCTTAGCTTTAGCTTAGCTTTAGCTTAGCTTTAGCTTAGCTGTAGCTTAGCTTTAGCTTAGCTTCAGCTTAGCTTCAGCTTAGCTTTAGCTTAGCTTTAGCTTAGCTGTGGCTTAGCTTTAGCTTAGCTTTAGCTTAGCTTTAGCTTAGCTTTAGCTTAGCTTTAGCTTAGCGTTACTGCTACTACTAATGCTGCTTTCCTAGGGGTTCCAACTCCTAGGTCGGGTCGCACTGGGATAATTTTTAATACTCAATCCCTGCATGATTGATACGTAATCCACACGCGAAGCATGTAGAAAAAACGGCACTGTAGGCCGTCGGCCCGAAGGCCCCGAGCGTGGTCGGTCGCTGGCGACGTCAAATCGCCGCCTGCCGGCCAACAGTTTGGTGAAACGGTGGGGGGAGGGGGGGGACGAACGTGCTTAAGACACCGGGCCAGCTTTCCGGCAAGTTGGCCCAGAAACGCTGGCCCAGCTTCTCGGGAGGGAATTTGTTGACCACACGCTCGACAGTATAGAGGAACGAAGAGACGGCATGAGCAGAAGCCCTCGGGGGTACCCGCGGATTTGTTTGATCGGCACTGGATGGATTCCCCTGGCGGCGCCGCCGGCGCAAGGGAGGGGGGTCCAGGCCCGATCCAAGACATCCGCGCGGACCTGCGAGAGTAGATGGTTTTGCAATTCGCTCTTTTTAGAGGCATGGAAATGGGCACCAACACCAACACAGGGGGTTGCCTCAACAGGGGGAAGATGATCCTAGATTTCGGTGTTGGTGGTAATACTTCGGCCACCTTGGATCCCAGAATATTACCACCATCACCGAGATCGGGATCTTCTTCCCTCGGTGGAGGTACATCGCCGATATTGGTGTTGGTGTCAACCTCTAGGCCTGCGACTCTTCTTCGAATGGCCCCCCGATACCTGGCGTTTGCCCCACCGCCGGCCAGCTAGTCTCGGCAGCCGTACCCATTCGGCCCTTCGCCCGTGAGGTCGCCGCCGCGCCCGCGGCACAGCGCCCTGCCCGCGGTGCCCTTGGAGCCGCCCATCCAGTGCATCAGCTCCACGTCTGGATCCGCGATGTTGATGGGCCCGTTTTCCACCACCACCACCATGAGTTGGAGGGGGGAGGGAGATGGAGGACGCGCAAGAGGAGGTCGAGGAGGAGGCCGAGGAGGAAGAGGAGGAGGAGGAGGAGGAGGAGGAGGAGGAGGAGGAGGAGGAGGACCCCCTCCCCCTCCAACTCATGGTGGTGGTGGTGGAAAACAGGCCCATCAGATGTGGTCGACGCCAAGGCCGTCGATGCCCCTCTCGGCGCCGCGGTTGTACCGCTTCCCGCTGGCCATCATCGCTTTGTGGGCGAAGTGCGCCCTGCCGGACCCAGACCACAGCTCGTTCAGGCAGATCTGCTCGTTGCTGCTGCACTCCATCAGGTCCACCCCTATCCTAGGGCGCAAACAAACCTACCTCGCTTTTGACCACCCTCGCTTCCAAGAGATACCAAACGATGCCAAACTACGGCCTGTACTGGTCAGGCCGCTTGACGAGGAGGCGCGTGGTATGACTTGGTTTTGCCTGGAAGCGAAAGCGGGGTAGGTAATTCACGCTCTGACCTATCCTCCAGTTCTTCAGCTTCTTGGGGCCCTGGATGTGCGCGTCGAACGTGTCTTGAAACAGCTGTCGGGTGAAGAGCGTGTTCTTGGCCATCATGAGGCCGCCGTTGATGCGGTTCTCGCCGTACAGCAGCCAGTCCTCGTTGGTCATGAAGAGGTCGACCCCCTTGTCCTGCAAGATGTCAGCGATGCCGCTGAGCGTGTCTTTTGAGGGCTGCACCAGCGCAGCATCCGCATCCAGCATGAGGATGTGTGAAAAGTTCTGCGGGCTCATGAGGTAGTCGGACACCATCAGGTGCTTCTCCCAGTTGAAGTTCTCTCGCTCGTTATCCTTCACGCACTCGAGCGTGCTCTTCTTGCCGCACTGCCGCAGCTGCCACCGGGTCAGCTGCGGCTGCGTGGGCTGGGCCCGTAAGATCATGGCATGGCCGTGCCTGCGCGCGTGCGCCCGGTTCGTCGCCAGGATGGCCCGCAGCCACTGCGGCCTCGCAGACTGGCGGCCCCAGATAGAACCAGCGTCCGCCAGGACGGCCTGCACGATCAAGATGCCGCCGCTGGCGCGGCCCTCTGCTGCGTTCGCACGCGCGTCGACAACCAGTGCGTCCTCCCGCGCCAGCCACTGAGGGGCTGGCGACACGATGGGCAGCCCGGCGAATGGCTGGGACACAGGCGGCAGCGTGGGGATGGGAGAAGAAAAACAGACTGCTAATACACAGACCTTCGGAGGTCCGCACGAAATCTTGGGCACTGGACCACCCTCCCCTGGCGGCGCCTCTGACACCGCCCCTGGCGGGCTCCGCGCACCATGAGAGGGGGGTACGGCGCCGACCCAAGAGACCCGCTCACCTCCGAAGGTTTATGCTCATGCCGCTTCTGTTCTTCTAGATGGGCAGCTGGTCTGGGAAAACGGCCGGCCGGGGCGTGATCACCCGGTATACATCCCAGGCATCGCTCGACGGCCCGCCGTCGGCGCCTGCTGGTGCACAGCAGCGGCACTGCCACTCTGGGTGCCTCACGCTGAACATGAAGGCGCTGCCACACTCCGCCTCGCTCGCGGCGAGCTGGTCGCACTCCTTCGGGGTGGCCACGTGGCCGAAGTTGGGCCCCTGCGAGGAGCACTCCCTCCCCCTGTGGAGGCGCCCGTCCGAGGTCGCTGGCGCGGGGGCGACCGCGTCCCCGTGCTGCGGCGTGACCGCCGCTTCGCGCCCGCCTGGGCTCGGAGACGAGCCGACTGCGTCCCCGAGCTGCGGCGTGACCGCCACGTAGACGGACCAGCGAGACTCCAGCGGCCCCTGGCCCGTGGCCCCTGGCGAGCAGCACCTGCAGGCCCAGTCCGGGTGCTCCGCGCTGAACATGAAGAGGCCGCCGCAGCCCTCGCCCTGCCGCGAGGCAGTCAGCGCCGCGCACTCGCCAGCCGAGGCCACGTTGCCAAAGTTATGCCCCTGCTGGTCGCACTCCCTGCCGGCCGCGTGCACCGCGGGCGCGGAACTACGCGCCGCCTCCGTGGGCGCCCCGGGAGCCGCGCCGTCGGCCGCGCCCGCCAGTGGCTGCCGCTGCCCCCGCGGAGGCACCGCCCGAGCCGCCCCGCGCCGCGCGCCCGTGGCGTCCTCGACGCTCGCCGCGCCAGCGGCCGCGCCCGCCGGCAGGGGAACGAACAGCGGCGTAAACATGACAACGCGGAGGTCCGCGCGGGTTTCTCGGAGCGGCGCTGGGCCCCCCCCCGGCGGCGCCTCCGGCGCCGCCCCTGGCGCGCTCCGCGCGACCAGGAGGGGGGCCCAGCGCGGATCCGAGACATCCGCGCGGGCCTCCGAGCTTTGGTGCTTCTGCCACTGTTCGTTCCCCTGGCTGGCGGCTGTGGTTGCGCCCGCGGGGGCGCCGCCCGAGCCCCGCGGCGCGCGCCCGCGGCCTCTCCGACGCTCGCCGCGCTGCCCGGCCGAGGCCGCAGCTGGCTCCTGCGTGTGCTGCCCGCCTGGCGGCTGCCTGCTGGTGGCACCTCCGCCGTCGAGTCCCACTCCACGGCGCCGGCCAGCACGCCGGCTGCGACGAAGCCGACTATGATGGGCCCATTGTCCACCACCACTACCATAGGTAGGACCGGGAGGAGGAGGAGGAGGAGGAGGAGGCGGAGGAGGAGGAGGAGGCGGAGGAGGAGGAGGCGGAGGAGGACGAGGAGGCGGAGGAGGAGGAGGCGGAGGAGGAGGCGGAGGAGGAGGAGGAAGAGGAGGAGGAGCTGTCCTCATCCTCCCTTGTCCCCCGTCCTACACATGGTAGTGGTGGTGGAGCATGTGCCCATCAGACGAAGAACGCCCCGCGCAGCAGACGCCAGCTGGGAAGCGGGGCCGGCTCTCCCTCCGCGGCCGCCGTGCGGGCGCTGGCCGCTGCCTTGGGCGGCATGGCCGCCGGGCGGCCCCCGCAGTCACATCTGGGCTGGGCGGGCGGGGGAGGCAAGGGGGAACATGGATACAGTCGGGCTGCTGAAAGAAGGAACGATCAACAGGGAACGAAGCCCCTTTTTGGCCCCACGAGCGCCTGCGTGCACGAGGAAGGCTAGAGGAAAAGCCATAGAAGGACCTAAGGAATATCGAGCCCTTTTCTGACCCAAACTGTTCCTTATTTCAACGACTTGGCTGTAGAAGAAAAACAAAAACACATAAACATATTTGTTTGGCGCTCCGCGCGGATTTCTTGGATCCTCGCTGGACCTCCCTCCCTGGCGCGCGGAGCGCGCCAGGGGCGGCGCCGGAGGCGGCGCCGGGGGGGCCCAGCGCGGATCCAAGAAATCCGCGCGGGACGCGAAAAGTTTGTGTTTGTGTGGTTTTCTCTTCTTCGAATGGAGGCGAGGGAACAACCAAGATGCCGAGACTATCCAGACCTCTCCCCGGGGGTAAGGGTGTGTGTCCAGCTGTGGTTCCGAAGCGAATCAAGCCGTGGCGACGGGCCAGGGTCGGCGAGGTGGTCAGCCGGCGCCCCCCGAGGCTTGCTCAGAGCCAGTGGTCCACCTCCTCCTCCTCCTCCTCCTCCTCCTCCTCCTCCTCCTCCTCCTCCTCCTCCTCCTCCTCCTCCTCCCCCCCCCGAGGGCAAAATGCGAGGCACTGCTTGATCCCTAGTCACCGCCTGGGCCTCGGGGGTCGACCTTCGGGGACCGCCGCAGGCGGTGGGTTCTGGCACATGCTCGGGCCACCCCCGGGCCCCGAATACATCCGCATGCGCCGCCTGCCGAGCTCCCCGAAGGTCGGCCCCTCCAGCGGTGGTGATGGCTATGCTCGGGAACCTCTGCATAGCGTTATGTCGGGCCTGTCCCCCTGCAGGGGGATTTTCGACGAATTCTCCCGGCAAAGCAACCTGACAGCGATGTGCAGGAGCACATCTGGAAGCATTCCCCTAAAGATTCAGATGAGAATCCAGTTGTAGAATTATGCTGTTCTCGCAGTCGTAGTCGCATTCGCGATGACAGTCGCAGTGGCAAGAAGTCCAGTTGTCAGCCTCAGCCTCAGCCTTCATGCTGCCTTCTCGCAGTCGTCAGCCTCGCCTCATTCAGCGATGACAGTCAGCAGTGGCAACGGCAGTCTCAGCCTCAGTCACCTGCCTCAGCCTCAGCCCTCAGCCTCAGCCTCAGCCTCAGCCTCAGCCTGCCACCATCAGCCTTCAGCCTCAGCCTCCCTGTTCAGCCTCAGCCTCAGCCTCAGCCTCTTCAGCCTCAGCCTCAGCCTGCCTCAGCCTCAGCCTGCATCAGCCTCAGCCTCAGCCTCAGCCTGCCTCAGCATCAGCCTGCCTCAGCCTCAGCCTCAGCCTGCCTCAGCCTCAGCCTCAGCCTGCTTCAGCCTCAGCCTCAGTCTGCCTTCTCAGCCTCGGCCTCAGCCTCAGCCTGCCTCAGCCTCAGCCTGCAGCCTCAGCCTCAGCCTCAGCCTGCCTCAGCCTGCCTCAGCATCAGCCTCAGCCTCAGCCCTCAGCCTCAGCCTGTGCCTCAGCCTCAGCCTTCAGCCTCAGCCTCAGCCTCAGCCTCACCTCAGCCTCAGCCTCAGCCTGCCTCAGCCTCAGCCTGCCTCAGCCTCAGCCTCAGCCTGCTTCAGCCTCAGCCTCAGTCTGCCTTCAGCCTCGGCCTCAGCTCAGCCTGCCTCAGCCTCAGCCTGCATCAGCCTCAGCCTCAGCCTCAGCCTGCCTCAGCATCAGCCTGCCTCAGCCTCAGCCTGAGCCTGCCTCAGCCTCTCAGCCTCAGCCTGCTTCAGCCTCAGCCTCAGCCTCAGCCTCAGCCTGCATCAGCCTCAGCCTCAGCCTCAGCCTCAGCCTGCCTCAGCCTCAGCCTGCCTCAGCCTCAGCCTCAGCCTGCCTCAGCCTCTCAGCCTCAGCCTCAGTCTGCCTTCAGCCTCGGCCTCAGCCTCAGCCTGCCTCAGCCTCAGCCTGCATCAGCCTCAGCCTCAGCCTCAGCCTGCCTCAGCATCAGCCTGCCTCAGCCTCAGCCTCAGCCTGCCTCTGCCTCAGCCTCAGCCTGCTTCAGCCTCAGCCTCAGTCTGCCTTCAGCCTCGGCCTCAGCCTCAGCCTGCCTCAGCCTCAGCCTGCATCAGCCTCAGCCTCAGCCTCAGCCTGCCTCAGCATCAGCCTGCCTCAGCCTCAGCCTGCCTCTGCCTCAGCCTCAGCCTGCTTCAGCCTCAGCCTCAGTCTGCCTTCAGCCTCGGCCTCAGCCTCAGTCTGCCTCAGCCTCAGCCTGCATCAGCCTCAGCCTCAGCCTCAGCCTGCAGCATCAGCCTTCAGCCTCAGCCTCAGCCTCAGCCTCAGCCTCAGCCTGCCTCAGCCTCAGCCTCAGCCTGCCTTCAGCCTCAGCCTCAGTCTGCCTTCAGCCTCGGCTCAGCCTCAGCCTGCCTAAGCCTCAGCCTGCATCAGCCTGAGCCTCAGCCTCAGCCTGCCTCAGCATTCAAAATGTGGACCGGGGAATGGAGTTTCTGGGAACTCGAAGAGACACGAAATGCCTACAGTTGGCTCCGGGCATTCAAAATGTGGCCCGGGAATGGAGTTCTGGACTCGAGAGCCGAAGTGGCCTACAGTTGGGCTCCGGGCATTCGTGGCCTACAGTTGGCTCCGGGCATTCAGAATGTGGCCCGGGAATGGAGTTCTGGGACCTCGAAGACCACGAAGTGTGTAACTGTTTGCTTAAAACGACTTCCGCGGCTTCTCCCCGGCACCCGCCCAGACCCCCCTGGGGAGTCAAGATGCTCTCTTTTGAGCCTACTAGAAACCTATCAGTCTTCGCTGTTAGGAAAAAAATAAAAAATACCCCCAAAATGCCCTAAGAAGGTTAAAAAAAAAGGTCCCCAGACTATTTTGGGACATTTTTTTTGCTATTTTGGGGGGGATTTTCATTTTCCGTCGAAAATCCCGCTCTAGGGGGACAGGCCCGACTTAAGCACAGCGCGCCGCTCCGGGGGCCCCGGCGACACTTTTTGGTTGGCGGCTCCCAGGCGAAGGCCAGGAAGCGGGGCGTCGAACGGGGCGCGAAACGAAGATAATCAGCCGAAGAGGCGCATCATGCACATGCAAGGGGCACAAGGACCCAAATTCAACGCCGCAGACCGGCGCCGACCTCCCGGCGGGCGGGGACGCCACGTCGCAGCGAGCGGCGGCAACGGCGGTACAGTGTCGCTCCGGCGTTATGTCGGGCCTGTCCCCCTACAGGGGAATCTTCGACGAACCCAAAAAAATACCCCAAAAATACCCCAAGAAGGTCAAAACATACCAAAAACACAGACTATGTTTGGACGATTGTTTTGCTATTTTTGGGGCATGTTTCTCATTTCCCGCCGAAACTCCCGCTGTAGGGGGACAGGCCCGACTTGAGCGCAGCGTGCCGCTCCGGGGGCCCCGGCGACACGCGAGGCGCTGCGGGCGGCTATATAGAGAGCGTGCCGCTCCGCGCTCCGCGGGGCGGCGGGCTCGGGAAAGAGCTCTGGGGGCCCTGGCGGCGCTCGGGGGCCGCAGGGCGCGGAGGGCGCGCCGCGCAGGGCGCGGGGTGGGCCCGAGCCGGCGGCGTGCCACGTCCTCCTCCTCCTCCTCCTCCTCCTCCTCCTCCTCCTCCTCCTCCTCCTCCTCGTCCTCCTTCTCCTCCTCCTCCTCCTCCTCCTCCTCCTCCTCCTCCTCCGCCGCGTCGAGCATCCGTGGCCAGCCCTAAAACACCCGTAAAAAAGTGCCGAGAGAGTGTCGAGACAGTGTCGGACCCGGTGCCTCCCAGGGCCCGGCACGTGGAAGCCCTTGAGCTTCGGTACTACTGTGGTGCTCCAAGTCAAATCCTTCCTGCTGATCAGGGCTGAGGGTAGGTCGGAACATCCTAAGCGGAGCCGACGTTCCCGCCCGCAGCTGCCTCCGC